TTATTAATTTAAATGTAAGTACATAGTTGTTAAGGCCACTTAATATAAAGTGGGTCCAAAAATTCTAATTATATTGCGTTATAAAATGGAACGTTTCAGCCCCAAGAAGAGTTGTTTAATATGATTTATTTTTATTAAATTTATTATTATTATTATTATTATTATCATTATTATTATTAGATCTAAGAAGAGTGGGTTAATATACAGGTGCATCTCAATAAATTAGAATTTTATTTAATACACGAGTTTCACAATTTGAGTTGAATTACTGAAATAAATGAACTTTTCCACGACTATTATTACTATTATTATTTAAATGTTTCAAAATCTATTATTATAATATGATTTATCTGTTATTGTGTTGCATTATAAAATTTATTCTAATTATACTTAGAAATGATGTTTAATGTGATTTATTTCTTTTTTTTTTGTTTGTTATTTATGGTAATGTAGTTGTTTTTTGGTTGTTTATTCATTTTTATTAAGAAATAAAACTTAAATTATTTATTGAGCATTGATGTCTTACCATTTTGCTATTGCTAGCATTTCTTAAAGGCCATAAGAATGTGAAAAGGCACCAATGATCAATAATTTAATAAATGTTTTTGATTAAATAAAATTGCAGTATAAAATTGTGAATGTAATTTATTTTGTTCGCTATTGCAAGTGATTTTCTCTTTTAATTACTTGTCACATCTTGCCTACCTATGATTTTATTATATTATTTGAAATTAAAACCAATGTCTCCATTTTCTATTTCTGTATGCAGGATGATCAGAAAGCAGAGGATGAGCTGGCTAAGAAGAGGGCTGCGTTCCTCCTCAAACAGCAGCGTAAGGCCGAAGAGGCGCGAATACGTAAGCAGCAGCTGGAGGCGGAGTCAGAGCTCAAGCGAGATGAAGCCAGGTATCAGTCTCTGTGGATCCAGTGTGTCTTTAAGTAAATACTGTAGAAGGGCTGCTGCAGATACATTTGATGTAATTTGTGTTTGTTCGTGTCAGACGAAAAGCTGAGGAAGAGCGTGTGCGTAAAGAGGAAGAAAAGGCTCGGAGGGAGTTGATCAAACAGGAGTACCTGAGCAGGAAGCAGCAAGAACTTCTGGAGGAACAGGGTGGGACTAAACCACGCCCACGTAACAGGAGGCCCCGCCCTAAATCACTGCATCGCGCTGAATCTTCCTGTTCTGCTCGTAAGAAAGCTTTCCTTTTAATGTGCCATATTTCTGACTTGACATGCCTGAATTTGTGCATCTATACATGCTACATTTGATTAGAACATCACTCTTCCTCTCTCCAGCGGTTAGTCTTTGTTCTGCTCCCTCCGGATCGTCTCTCTCATTGGCCTCTGCTGCTACTGAAGGTGACAGTGTGGCGTCAGGAGGGGCCAGTTCACACAGGTGAGTGGGAACAGACCATCAGTGTGTGGCCCACTTTTCTGGACTTAAAATGATAGGTCTACGCCAAAATGTTGAATTTATTTTTAATGTATTATTTTATTTATTTGTAATTAATTTGTTTATTCATATTTATTTATTGGTAATTCATTTATGTATTTTAACTTTTTTGTAATTTATTTAGATTAGCACATCACACTTTGAGTTGATGGATACACACTAGCTACTTCAGAGCTACTTTATGTATTTTAATGTATTTTTAATTAAATAATTTATTTATTATAAATTATTTTATTTGTAATGTATTTGTAGTGTATTTATTTGTATGTATTTTTCTTAGTTAGTTTTCAATTTACTTATGTTTTTTTAATTTATATATTTTAGTTATTAATACATTTTGTATGAAATACTGTATTTATTTTGTTTAATGTATTGTAATTCATCATATTTGTTTCATTTTTTAAAAATGTATTTGTCAGCAATTCATAACTCATATCTTCAGTTACCAGATTATAATAACACATAATTCCCGAATGTGTGTTGTAGGGGGGAATCTGTGGAATCTTTTCCCATACTGAGCCGAAACGCGAGCAGGAACATGGAACGAGACTGGGACAATGGCTCAACGGCCTCATCTATCACATCTGTAGCAGAATACAATGGTGATGAGACATACATTTTACAGCTCTTCTTGAATGTGTAAATACCGAATTATATTATGTGTTTATTCAGCCAAAATAACTAAACATTTCAGCACCATTAGCTCAATTTGCGTTTTTTCTTTCGGTCCTCAGGGCCCAGATTATTTAAGGAGCCTAGTGCAAAGTCCAACAAACCGATCATCCAGAATGCCATCGCTCACTGCTGTCTTGCGGGAAAAGTCAATGAAGCCCAGAAGAACGCCATTCTGGAGGTGAGTGCAGTTTCTATGACAGCACACTTTCAGGATGTTCAAACCTGTATGCTACCATACTACCCTACTTATGCAATACATTTTATGTATACTGTGCATAGTATATTTGCATGATTTGTTATTAGGCCCCGATCAGACCGAATGCATTTTTTAGGTCTGAAAACACGAGGCCGCGTTTTTTGTGACTTTTAAAAAAGAGCAGTGCGCTGCGTTTTTTTTTATGTTACTAGGCAACCACCAAATCAGCTGTCCTGTCAGTCTAATCAAAGGAGTATAGCGCGAGCGCTCTTAAAATCTTTGGGTTTTGCTGTTATGTAAACTGTAATATTAGCAAAAACCTTAAAAAATACAGACAGACACCAAAAGTTTCTCCTCCATCATTGCAGTCTCCGGACTTTCTAAGCAATGGTAAACTTTTGTCACCACAACGGAAGGCCGGCCTCTCCATTCATTCGATTGGACAATGCAAAAAAACGCGAATGACGTCGGGAAAATCCAAGATGGCGGCGCAGTCGGACGCAGCGGCTACTCCGGGTCCCAAAAACGGTGTTTTTATGTCTGTTAGTCTCGTTTCCTCGTCTTCAAACAGTCTCATCTTATCGCAGAATCAACAGATAAACACTCGGAAACACATCTATGATCGACAGAGCCTTCTGGAAATCGGCAGTGAGTACAAACAACAGCTTTCGCCGGTGACTACTGAGAAGCTACGAGGCCTCTGTCTGCTGCTGAAGCCGAACCCCGGGACCGCGGCCTCGCCTGCTGATGCTCTTCATTGTTGTATGCCTGTATTTATGTAACACCGTGGTCCTGTGAGGCACGACATTTCGTTCCACTGTATGTCCCCACATGCAGCAGAATGACAATAAAGCTCAACTTGAACTTGAACTTGAGCTTTTCTGCTCAGAGTTGCTTTTTTTAAACTTCATGTGCTCACAGCGCTTCTCCAAAAACGAAGCGCTATATTATTGGCATAGATAGATAGATAGATCATTTACTATCAAGACAGTATTGCATATTAAACAACGTAAAAAATAAAAAAATTTGTTGAGTAGCTACTTACATTTATATTTATTTGGATATACAGCTGTATATGTTTGAGCATGTATTAAATCATTGCCATAATTCCACAGGAAATCGAGCGGTGTGAATCCAACCACCTGATAATCCTTTTCCGTGACGGTGGATGTCAGTTCAGGGCGTTGTACGTATATTCCTCCGAAACAGAGGAGATCGTCAAGCTCAAAGGCACAGGACCACGTGCCATCAGCCGCAAAATGATCGACAGACTCTACAAATACAGCTCCGACCGCAAGCAGTTCACCGTCATCCCCGCCAAGTCTGTGTCGGTCAGTGTAGACGCTCTCACCATCCATGGTCACCTGTGGCAGGCCAAGCGGCCGAGCACGTCAAAGAGAAAATGATCCCGCTTTCCATTGGCTCATTGGATCCAACCGCTGCTTTCTGATTGGCTACTGGGTTAAATTCCAGTCTCTTAAACTGCTGTTTTGCTAATGAGCAGGCCTCCTAATATTCTACTGGTCCACAAGACTCCCGCTTTCCTATTGGCTCACTAGCTGCCGTGCTCCTATTGGCCACTATCTGCCTATTACACAAGCAGAGCTGAGGAAGTCAGAAGTGGGTGGAGCTTGACGTTTGATTGACAGAGTTAATGAATGTGTTTTAGGATTACATCATCGTTCAGTGTTGTTGTTTTTTAGGCAGGAATCTGCATGTGACACTTTTCTGTTTGATTTTACCATAGTATTAATTTACACAGGGAACAAAAGACGACACTTCCACTACTTGAACTATGAATTATGGTTGCTATCGTTACACGGGCACGTGCGAATGTGTGTACGAGCGCGTCTGTTTTTTGCATTTCTCATACCTCTCCATATGCTGCTGTTCATACATGACACTCACTTTAGCAGTGCAATGCAATGAACAAGTGACAAGGGATCTGAGTGTGTGTGTGTGTGTGTGTGTGTGTGTGTGTGTGTGTGTGTGTGTGTGTGTGTGTGTGTGTGTG